GAGCTTGTATTGATTTAGGCACTTCCTGTTGCCCCCGGGCTTACTCTATTCTGGAAGAAGGGGGGGGGGGGGGGTTTCTCTCCCGCTCGATTCTGTAACTTAAGGGAGACAAAGACAAACGAACGAAATCAAAAAAAGAATCAAAAAAAATTAACTTATACATTTATTATTGACGGAATGTGAAAAAAAGGAGAACGGAGAATGGAGAAGGTGAATTTGCTAACAAGGAGAAGAGAAGAGCGTTCATTACGAATTAGTTAATACAGAAAAACAAGTAGGGAGGTTTTGAGAATAAAAAGAGAGGAAAAGGCCGAGGGGAGGGAGAAGAGAATACAGAGCAACGTCCTGCAGTACCTTGGTCCCTGCTGTGGTAGTTGAGAGAATCGAGAATCGAGAATCGAGAACAGAACAAACACACAAATTTAAAAAGGCTCCCGGCCACGTAGGTATGTCGCAACGGGAAAGGCGAGTGGGTAGTCGGGGAGAAAGGCAGGGAGATTGGAAGATTGAGAGATGAGAATATTAGGATATTATGCGGAAGAACCAGCCAGAAAACACCCGAGAAAAAAACACAAGGTGGAATGAATATAAAATGGTATATGAAATGCAAAGCCGTAAACAACACCACACCAAACCGTACCGTTTTCCTTTTTTTTTTTTCCTTTTTTTTTTTTTTTTTTTTTTTTTTTTTTTAATTTTTAATTTTTCAGCTTTCCATTTTTTACATCCCTTATACCGGCACCATGCTTATCGCTATTACTGTGGAGAGGAAACTCTATCCTTGTCCCTGTCCTGGCCCCGACGGCGTAAATGATGACTCAGTAGCTTGTCCTTGCTGTCCCTGTTGACCCTGTGCGCTGCTGCCCGTACCTGTGCCGGCGCCAGCACCACCCATCATAAATCCAGGTGGGAACATAGGCATCCCCTGAAACGAGAACCCGAAGCCCGGCACCGCGGGCGGGACGCCGATTGCGTTGGCGTTATTGGCGCTTGCAGAGCCGTCGCGGTCGTTTCGATCGCCCATGTTGCTACCGTTGCGTTCACCGTTGCCATTGCTGCCTGGTACTGCTGATGACGATGACATTTGTCCGTGACCGTAGCCGTGGCCGTGTGCGGGGCCATGTGCAGGACCAGGCCCGTGGCCATCGTCCATTGCACCGCGGTTTTGCCGCCGGAAGCGTTCTGGTTCCGGTGCCGTTCGAGTAGATTGGGGACCACGCTTCCCACCTTGGTCGGTGGCCATGCGTCGGCTTATCGCTGTCGGGGTCGTGTTAGTATTGGCTACATTTCCGGTTTCTCCCAGAAGGGAAAGGGGGGAGGGGTGGGCATGTTTTGAATGACTGAAACGTACCTTTCGAAGACACGCCGGCCCCAATCTCAATGTCAGGTTCCTCCACCACCATAAAACTCTCAATTGGTTTTCCACCGGTTCCGCCGTACTCGGCGTTGAGCATCCACTTGCGGTCTGCGTCCGTGAGCCGGTCGATGGGGATTACGCTGATGCCGGTTTGGTAATCGCTGCAGTCTCGAGGGCCGAAACCGACACCCCATCGTGTCTAGTGTGCGGATGTCAGTGGGAGGGGAAAAAATTGAATAAAGTTGGGGAGAGAAAGGAGATGCGGTAGTTGCTGGAACTTACTCGTAATTGCATGTCTCCAGACTTGTATTGCTCCATACCCTCGCGAGCAGTGACGGCATCATGTCTGTTGATCATCTTCACGAATGCATGGCGTTTGTCAATATTTACAATACATGTTTGGACCACGCCGTAACGGCCGAAAAGCGATCTTAAATGAGATTCTGACGAACTGTGTTCGATCATGTTAGTTCGACTGCAGTTCAATATGAGGGGTTTAAAATTTCGAATTATATTTTTGCAGAAAATGAAATAACTCACGTCACACCGCCGACGAATAGGGTTCTGCTGAGGACTGTATATTAAGAAAAAAAAAAAAAGGTCATCAGCCTGATCACAACACTCAGAGTAAAATTATAGTGAAGACATACCTTTGATGTTCCCCTGACCAATTGAATAATCCCACTCCAAGAACTTGGGTCCGGGAGGAGGAAGCGTAGCTTCTTTACGAGGAGGTGTCGGACTTCTACGACGTCTTCCAGGAGGACTGCGCTGGCGATATTCACCAGGCCGTCGTCCACGGGAATCTCGAGTGTCTCGGTTCCTGCCAGGGGAGTCTCCATGGTATTCTCCATAGACAGGGCTGTCGCGACGACGGGGGGGGGAAACTTCGCGACGTCTATCCCACCCAGGCGACCTGGAACGGCGTCGGTAACCCCCTGGCGGTGACCGAACATAGTCTTCTCTGTCATGCTCTCTACTACTCCGATGATCGCGATCTCGATCTCGATCACGTGATAATGAGTCTGGTGCTGGGGTGCTCCAGGTATTTTGACTAGCGGCAGGCTGCTGGGCGAAGGCTGCTAACGCTGTGGCGGGGTTCATATTGACCATGCCGCTACTTGAAGTATTGGAAAGGCTTAGGATTTGCAGCGCTGTGGCCCACTGGTCTTGAGGAATACCCTGCGCAGCCATGAGCTGGAGCAGGCTTAATTGTTGTAATGTCTCTGGAGGCAAAGCGCCTGCCTGTGGCATCAAGGCGGCAAGTGGGTTCTGTTGTGCAGCGGCGGCTACTGCTGCGAGAGGATTTGAAGCAGCAGCAGAAGCCTGGCCCTGGTTTGGGAAAATAGATGGATTCTGAGCCATATTACTCAACCCCGCAAATTGATTTGCAAGATTTCCCGCAGCAGCAGCGGTAGCAAAGGGGTTTACAGCCTGCCCGTTGGGCTGTTGCGCAGCCGGGTCTACAGACGCGGGCATGGCTTGCGGAACTGGGTTTTGCGGATTAAATATACTATGGGGACTAGTTGCGTGGCACGCCTGAGGTTGCTGGGGGTGTTGCTGTACTGTTTTTGCCATATCTGCCAATGCCTTCAAGATGCTAGAAGTATCTGGTGCTGGTGGAGCTGGCTGACCGGAGCCTGCAATAGTAGAAAGTAGTAGTAGTAGCAGGAGCAGCAGACGATGATTGAGCTCCATGCTGGGCTCCAGCTAGGGAGATTAAATTGGGGGCCGGTGATCCATCTGGCGTAGTTGATTGCACGTCTAGAAGAAAAAAATAATATCATACATCAGAAAACTGGTTTTCAACATACCCTACTATGCCCCTTCTCGTTCGTTGTCGACTGTACGTTTTGGTGATATGTGCGATGTTTTAAAAAGAGGATAGGAAAATGACGAGAAGAGGCATTTGTTCTTTTGCGTTCGCTGTTCCTTATTCTGCACTCTAATCCAAGGGGGAAAATAAAGCTTACTTTGAGATACTGGCGCGTTTAGCTGTTCCTTCAAGGAAGCGAGAAGAGCTGCCGGGAAGGTGTATCCACGCTCCCAGATGTCTACCAGCTTTTTGATTTTGTCCTAGAGAGAGAAAACCGGGCATACGTAAGTGGGGATTGTTCAGTCACCGCATGAAATAAAAACAGAAAAGGAAAGAAAAGAAGGAGAGAACAGAAAATGGAGGAAAAGGTGGATAATCGAAACCCAGAAATGTAAGAATGAGACGAGTCTATAGCCAAAGCGGAAGAAAGACGTGGATATAATACCGCGGCTTTCGTGCTAAACGAAGGCAAAAAAATATACGCGGGGGATATTGTTCTATGGGCAACAAAGCGAACGGCCATCCAAAAGCTGATGGGATAATGCCGTTGTGCACGTTGTCTTCTTTATGATATAAATTGCAGCCGGAAATGATTTTCTTTCTGTATCCGGCTGCTGGCTGTTTTGTGTCTAAGAGTACGCGTACCTTTTGATATTCAGGAGCATTGTTTATGATATCAGTCATCAAGACGGGAAGCAATTCAGTCACTCTGTTAACACCAGCTGCAAATGTTCCATCTGGCGCACCGCTACCAACAGTTTGACCGGCTTTCCGGGCTGATTCTACCCACTGTCGAGTTACAGAATCTACGACATAGAGTACGCCCAGTTTGTGTGTTCCCGGGGCCCTTTTGAAGTGGGTATATATTTTTTTGAACGAGGACGGATTCGGACTATAAAGTAGGAAAAATAAATGTTAGATATGGCTTTTCCTTTCCTTTCCTTTTTATTTTTTTTAATTTTTAAACTTTTTCTGGGTTTCTTTCAGCATATAGGGAGTCTAGAGATAAGCCATACCTGTACATTGGCGGCACATAACGAGGTGATAATGCTGATTTTGGAAGCTGATACTCCAGGTGGCTTAAGCGCCAACATGGATTGTAAGTAGCCATCTAACTCCGCTACGGCAGACGACATGGCTTCAGACGAGGAGGGTTGCTTAAAGAGTTGATACCAGTCAAAGGCAAGAAATAACCGCAGAAATATAAACAAGCTGTCGACTTGTCCCGTAATTTTATCCTTTGTTAGAAGAGAAATTTGTATTCCTTTTGATAATGGCCGTGTATAGATAGATGAATACGATGGATGGCAGCGCGGAGAGGATAAGGTTAAGACCGTCCCATGAAGCGGTTTTTTTTTCCCCTCTTAATCTACTGCTGCGAGAGACTTTTTGACGACAACTAGCATACGGCGAGTTCCAGGAAGTGTGGAAAGTGTCTAAGTAGATAAAATATATGACGATGCAGGTGACGTAGATACCTATTGGAACGAGTTGGATGAAAGTCTTGATGACACTGTCGATGTCGTGCGAGCAAGACGGCACTACAAGGACCCAGAAAAAAAAAAAACCTTTGACCTACAGGCCGCGAGTCGAAGGCACGGCGGTGAGTAGCAGGCCAAGAGAGATGAACACGGAGCAGTGAACACGAGTACAGTCGGTGCGGAGAGAGGGAGTAGAGAGGGCAAAGGGCTGTTGAAGAGAGAGGATGGTTTGAGTCTTGACGCGATGAGGTTGGTTGGTGAGGTCCGAAGAAGGTTTGAGGAGAAAAATTCCCTGTTTGAGAAACCGGCGCTAGCGCGATTGGGAAACACGTGATGGGCCGCGTGTGCTGAGTCATCGTGTGACAGCATTGCGCTAGTGACGGAGTACTTTTTTTGGCATCAAAAAATACTTCTAAAAGAGAAGGAAACGGATACTTGTTTTAACTTAAAAGGAATGCTGCCAAAGTGATGTTCTTTATTACGCGCCTTCGTCTTACCGGTCATCCGCTCCTTGATCACAAGACCCGCGGTCATACCTACTCATTTGCCTAGACCGATTGGCTCCTCTCCAATGATCAGATATGCAATCATGGGAGTGAAACTACGCCTTCCTCGGATTCCAATGTAAATGTAGAAAAGAATTGAATGTAGAATACAGTAACCGTAAAACATGGAGATAAAAAATGATTGCGAGGGTGAGGGGGGAGGAAATGAAACGGCAAAAAAAAAAAAAAAAAAATATTTTAAAAATTTAAAAAAAAAAAAACAATTGACACCCAAAAGAACCGTGGACGAATCGCCACAAACCCCGCCCTGCCTTTTCTCTATCCTTTACATTATCTTACAGTTGGGCGCCAACAAGCTTGGCATATGACTCGGTGCTGAAGCTCTTGGGTCGTTCGATGGGCATTCCCAGGGCGCGGTCAATGATCAGCTGTGGGAGCACACCAAGGGCTCGCGAGACACCAAACAACACGGTGTAATACTTGGCTTCTGTTAAGCCGTAGTATTGAAGGAGCACGCCTGAGTGGCTGTCGACGTTGGGATATGGCGATTTGACCTTTAGTTTACGAATTTCGTCAGCATCTCTGGTGGAATAGTGGGAAGCTTTGTAAAAAATGGGGAGCTGCATACCTTGCCGTGCTCGGTCAGAACGCCAGGAGCGATCTTGTAAACTTGGCTGACCAGCTTGAACATGGGATCATCTGGAAGCTTGCGGAGAGCAAACTCACGCTGGCAGGTGTAGCGTGGGTCGGTTTTGCGGAGGACGGCGTGGCCGTAGCCTGGAACAACTTGCCCGGCGTTCAGGGTGGACCACAGATAACCCTTAATGGCCTCGTCGCTGAGATCGTTGCCGATGACTTTCTTCATCTCCATCAGCCAGGTCAGGACTTCTTGGTTGGCTCTGTAGGAAAGATATCGAATCAGTAACCGTTTGTCCATGTCTCGGCATATTTTAGTCACTTACAATCCGTGGAGAGGACCGGCGAGGCCGTTGAGACCCGCTGCAAGAGAGAGCATGGGGGAGCTCAATGCGCTTCCGACCAAGTGGGTTGTGTGTGCGCTGACGTTCCCACCCTCGTGATCAGAGTGGATGGTCAGGTACAAGCGCATCAGCTCGACAAAGTCATTATTATCACCATAGCCGAGCTGGTTGGCCAAGTTGAAGCCGTAATCCTTGTCCTTCTGAATTGGAGCAACCTTTCCATCCTTGAATACGTTGCGGTAGATCTTGGCTGCGATGGTAGGCAGTTTGGCTATCAAGTCCATGGAATCCTCGAAGGTGTACTGCCAGTACTCTTTCTTGTTGATGCCTTTAGCATAGGCCTTGGCGAAGACGGACTCGTGTTCGAGAGCGGTGATAGCGAGGGAGAATTGGGCCATAGGGTGCAGAGTGGAAGGGCAGCGATCGATCAGCTCCTCAATGAATTTTGGCAGATCGGAGCGAGCGGCCCAATCTGCAGAGAGGGCACGGACCTGTTGTTCGCTGGGGACTTCACCAGTTAAGAGCAGCCAGAAAAGACCTGTTGAGCTATTAGCATTAGGTCAACGGAATAGTAATGGAAACGTGTAGCACCTTCTGGTAGAGGCTCCTCTCCCCCGGGAGCCTTTGGAAGCAATTTCTGACATTCCGGAATCTAGAAGGCGAATAAGCAGACGGTCTGGAAGGGAAAAAAATTCGCAATCTTGAAGGGAAAAACACCTACAGTCTTGCCCCGAAAGCGAATTCCCTCCTCGGGATCAAGGACAGAACCCTTTCTCAAGCCATTAGCCTCTTGCTTGCATGCAGCACCCCAATACAAGGATTGATCCATACCTCCCAAACAAGGGATTTGATTCCCCGAGCACCTCCGTATACCTGGCCAAGGGTAACTTCACCAATGACCTTGTCTCCGTAGTCTCTATAACAAGAATAGTCAGGTCAGATCTCTGTACATATACGTATACGCATACGTCTATCCGTATATATTAGGGAAGTTTCATCTCGAACTTTCTCAGCTTCTTGACCTTCTCGATCTCAGCCGGGAGTTTATCGGCGAAGGTATCTTTGAGGGACTGGCAGATGGACACGGGGCGTAGTCAGCGCATAGCTCGAATCATCATGGCAGGTCAATTGGGTTAACAGGAGTTTTGCTAACCTTTGTTTTAGTGGAGGAATAGCATCGCAAGCCAGTGAAGGCCGCAGACTGGACAACGGGATTGGAAGCAAAGGAAGCGCGGAGAGCAGAGCTCCCCAGTCTGAGGGATGAAGCCATGGGAGTTGAAGGGGAGTTGAAGGGAATTACAAATGGGATACCAAAGCAATTGACGAGAGATAGAATATGGAGAATGAGAGGTTCCTATGAATGCACTATGGAAGGGGGAAGAGAGGTTGAGGGAGCATACAAAGGAAATCGAGCAAGAAATGGTGAATTGGTGATGGATACTCTCTTCCCCAAAAAAAAAAAAAAAAAAAAAGGAAAAAAAGGAAAAAAAGAAGAAAAAAACCAACATGGCCGATCACCAAGTCAATACGTATATGTTACGTATACCAAACCACATTACCGCCAAGAAATCCAGCACGCTCGCCAGTTTGACACCAAATCCAACAACACAACCCTGTAACGCAATTACAGTTTCCCCCCAACAACTTTTCTTCCTTAGCCTTGCTATCCGAGTTCCTAGCTTTTTGTTATCTGCCATGAACGTACATAGTACTGTACATGCCAGCCTAACAGTGGCCCAAATATACAAAGCTCCCGGTTTTCCAGGCCAAACTCGGAGAGATTCGCCGTCAAGAAGTCTCGCTGGTCATTCATGTGGATGTTCCTGGGCCGTGGTGAGAACGGTGGAGCGCGGCCGCGGCGGCGGTGCGTGATATCTCAGATAGCTCCATATCCGAGGCATTGATTTCTCGTATATACATAATACACAAGATAACCATGATAATGATGATAGCCACAATGAAATGGTCCCGTGGCGTTTGACTGGCTGGGGCAATACCGACTGCGCTCTCTAGATAATCAATCAACTAACCTTCCAACCACATGCAATAATGCCACCATGCGTCCCTCCTCAACCCTGATGGTGCAGCCCGTCCTATTTCTCCCGAGTATCCCGTCTACTGTTTTTTAACAACACTTTGGCGGCTGCTGCGACCTTCTCGAGGATCCTAGACCTTGCAGAAGAACCAACAGTCAGAAGCGCCAAGATCATCGGTTACACTCTGGGCAAAGTGGGAGGGAGTATGAATCATGCATATATACGGAGTAGATATAGATATATATATCTTGAGGAATAGGATGCTATTTTAAGGATTGATCCTTTTTGGCGTAACTAGTGGCAAAGTCTTCCTACAAGATTGCATGTTTTACAGGGAGCCTATCCTGCTTTGATCGACGGTGAGCCAGGGCAAGTTGTTTCCGGATCTGCGGATATTATGGAGTTCGAAGAGTCGGCTCAAAAACTCGCCTACTACGAGATGAACGTGTGCAAGGTCGCTGTTTTGCTGGATTTTCTTTACAGACAATTGGTCGCTGGCAGAAATACTACTATCTGGTAAGACATTTAAGTACTAGTATTCTGGGGACCCGAAAACCTCGCTGGAGCAACTATTAAATCGTCAACGGACCTTGCAAATGGGGCGCAAGGTGGGATGAGTTTCTGTGGGAATGTTTTGAACATATTGAATGTATTTCCACATCTGTTGATAAACGAACAACGTTGGATATCCTTATGTGACACTGTAGGATAACTATAACCTAGATAACTATCTAGAAAACATGTGATGAGGTAGAATGATGAACAGATGAATTAATCAGATGGAATGCCCACTGTATGCCAAGAAATATATACAAATCTCTTCTCTTCTCTCTCTACCACCATACCGGAAGAACATAGACTTATTATACGACCGGATTATGGTTGTTCCACTGTATCATTCAGTGATAAACTGGCCGGTGGGACCATGAATTACATATTTGATTTGGTTTAGTTTGGTCCCAGTCCATTTCTTGATGTGATTTTAAGTGAGATCAGAATCAGAATGAGAGTGTAAAGAGATTAAAATTTTCAGAAATGAAGTGTAAAAGAAAAATACATTGTAGCACACGAGCTGCAGTGTGCTAAATTATTGCGGAGCTAGTCCCTTCAGCCGTAAATAACGCTCATAAACATCACCTCCAACCTCACCTCTACGATATGAAGCTCTACAAATATAAGAGATCTTAACTCAGCGGCCCCGTAACGTATTCATTTTCTAAAAAAGAAAGAAAGAAAGAAAGAAGGAAAAGGAAAAAAACAACAACTAACTACTCCTTCACCATATCAACCGCTGCCTCTAGGAGGCGCCCGATATTCTTGACTTTGGCCTTTAAGGCCGCGTTCTCCGCCCGCAAATGAGCAATCTCCATATCTTTGAGGTCTATGACCTCGACACTCTCCTCCCGCTCCTTCTGCTTGGCCTTGCTGAGCTGTTTGATTAAGAGGCCCGGCTCCCCTTCATCCTCTGCGGGGCGCTGGCGTTTGCGGCTGGTGGTTTCGGCCTTTACAGCCACAGGCTTCTTCCCCTTCTTCTCCTTCTCCTCCTCCTTCTTCTTCTCCATCTCCTTCTTCTCCTTCTCCTTCTTCTTCTCCTCCTTCCCCTTCCCCTTCTCCTTCCCCTTCCCCTTCCCCTTCCCCTTCCCCTCATCTTCCACTGACGTCTCGCGGTTGCCTAGTTCCATGTTAGTTTCTAACTCTAATGGCTAATGGCTAACTTGATTTAGTTGTAGACCTACTTATATGATAATAGCAATGACTCCCCATGCTGTTATAGTGACAGCTAGCACATGCTTCGCAGCAGCGGCTGGAGAGGCCAACACAAGTTTTGAAAGGGCCTTCGCCCCGGGCGCAGTGGGGGCAGAGGGGGTTTGCAATCTGCCCCCACAACTGCAAAAGAACAGCCTCCTGGTTGACAGAACAGCCCAGGTTAAGAGTCTTACCCTCACAGACATCAGGCTCACGGTGTCATGGCATGTTCATGAGAGCAGTCATCTCTTCTGTCGGCCTAGCTGGCAGGGTTTCTGTCAGAGCTGTCCAGCGTCCAGGGGCCTGTTCTGCAGTCGCAGGGGAGGCGGCAGCGGCAGAGGCGAAGACATAAAAGGAGATGGAGGAGGCGGAGAAGGAGGAGGCGGGAGATGCAGGAGGAGGGTAAGATGGGCTAGCAGCAGCAGCATCCTTCTCTGCAGCCACTTGAGCTTTGGCTCAAGCAACAGCTGCCATGATATTTTGAGCTATCCTATTCATCAGTTTCCTAACACTCATCTAACAGATGAGTGTTTGCATCAAGTCTGTCAACTTCAGAATGCCTCAGCTCTCTTCAACTTACAGAGATTTGTTTTCTTCATCTTGTCTTTGTTCTTTTCTTTGGCCTTTGCAGCCGCAATCTCCACAGCACGGGCACAGGACTGGCGCGTTCGACGAACTTCTTCAGAATTGATGGCCGTAAACATGTCTGATTCAGAGTCTGACTCTGTGATGAAAGGGGGCATGCTGCTGCTGCTGTTGATGTTGCTGTTGCTGTCGCTGTTGTTGCTGCTACTGCTGCTGCTGCTGCTGCTGCTGCTGCTGCTGCTGCTGCTGCTGCTGTTGTTGTTGTTGTTGTTGTTGTTGTTGTTGTTGTTGTTGTTGTTGTTGTTGTGGAGGTGGTGTTATTTGACATTCTACGCCTATGCCTACTACTACTGCTATATTATATTTTTCGGGGGAGCAGGGGTGGGGGGCGAGCAGAGGATAATTGGAATTATTCATTGACATGTAATTCACATCTTACTATTCATTCTATTCTATTGATACTATTGTTATGTGAAATACGGGCCGCAATTCACTATTTAAAGGTCACATGACCGTCCATAAATATATCCACTGTCATGGATTTCCAGCTTTTAAACACTTCAACCCACTCAATTACTTTCTAATTATTCAAATGTTGGCTGTGTATGGATCATCATCACTCTCCTGCACTGATTGAGACGCTGTGGAAGCTTGGGAGGGCTGCGGAGGTTGTGAGAATGATGGTGGAGAGGAATGAATGGGTAGGTCAAAAGTAATGGCCGCAGGGAATGCAAGAAGCTGCAGATAGTCAGTAGAAAGATCAATGAGTTCAGATATGTTACTTACTTATTGAGATCGACAGCATTCTGCATTCAAACATCTCATTTTCATAGTCTGAGACTCCTTACAAAAACAGGTGTAATCAAATGCCTTCTCAAAGAGTAAACCTTTATAGGATCTGACCCGCGATACTGCTACATATGTCAACCCAGATGTGAAATCCTTCTTCATAATGTTGAGAACAGCTTTGTCAAGTGAGAGACCCTGTGATTTATGAACAGTAATGGCATAAGCAATAGTAATTGGGAACTGAGTCCTGCTGCAGGTTATATTTGTGTGAGCAAACTCATGTCGGGACTGGAATATTGGTATGAGTTTGCGGCCATTCTGTTCACAGTAAGCTGGGCCATCATACTTATCAAACTCCGCAAGAATTGCAAAGGGAGCCTCAGTTCAACAGTTAACAGTGGAAGATTGCCAAATGATGTTGTGAATAGTAGCAAGAGCCTCATTAACCAACCCGCGCTCTGTTCAAATGTTGGTTGTAAGCATGATGCGGCAACCTATGAACAGTGGAAGTATTTGATGGAGATTGCCTGCTTCATCAGAGTTTAACTCATCTGTTTTTGGATCATCATTGTCTGCTATAATATTTATGACAGGGTGACCTGAGTCGGAGATTGCCTGCATATTATATCCACGGACAGGTTCTCGTTTAGTGTAGAGCCGAATGGCGTCCGTAAATTCATGAGATTGATGAGGAAGATTGGCTCGGATGCGGCCTGCAAGAAACTTCCAATCATTTATAATACTGACACATTCTCTTCCCGAAGACTATCTAGAACCATGCGGAATTGATTGGATTCTTGATCATTTCCTTCCTGCCGTCGGATAACCGTGAGCTGAATGGTTTGGTTGAACTTATAATAGAGGTTACGACCGTTAATCTCGTCCGGATTCTGAAGTTCTCCACTGTGAAAAAGTGGCTTTTGCAGAACAGAAGGCAGTTGATAAAAGTCATCTGAAAGAATGACACTGAGACCATCAAAAGAAAGATGATGATTGTGAGAATATATTGCTTTGCAGGTCTGGTCGATCCAGCTAAGTTGATATAGATCAACCATGAATTTCTCATCAATGATGAGATATTGAATGTTGCGCATGCCGGCCTGCATCGCCTGAAGAGTTTGAGGATTAAACTCCTCATAACGAGAGGTTTGCTTAATAGGCAGGTGAAAGATGGAATGTAGAGTGCGACCACTAATTGTATGAGCTGCAACCCCTGTTGAAGCTGTGTGGAGAATTGGAGATGGGATATCATTTTCTGCAGCCATGTTTTGCAGGGCTACAGAGAGGACTGTAATAACAAATGTTTTGTCAGTTCCTGCCTTGCCATTCAAATTGATGAGCAGAGGGACCGAATTATCACCAGTTCTGATGTACTCATTGAAATGATTAACGACTGTATCAAACAGCAATCTCTGATCGTGCTCCAGCTGTTGGGGGAGGCAGAGGATTGTAGATCAGTGTCAGCAGGGAACTCCTCTTTCATTTGATTTCAAAACTGTGAGTAAAGATCAGGATGAATGCCAATGTGCGAGGACCAGTTATATTCACAATCGATAGAGCGGTTGCCAATGAAACTGAGGTCATTCAACTCTGTAATGTTGCGGGGATCACCAGGAAGCAGGGCCGCAAGCTCATTAAATGAGTTTTGCAGCTCATCCTTCTCAACATCAACATCCTCAAACTCAGACTCTGGCTCTGAAATGTCATTGTCATAGGCATCATTAGAATGAACATGAGCCTCTTTGCAGTAGTTGAATGCCTCTGCAAATGTATCAAAAGAAGAAGGTAGATCAAGAGTTTTGAGATCATCAACTTCATGAAAGGGATGATGCAAAAGTGGTTTCACCCGCCCGTAATCCTCTGCTTGAGATTGAGGTTTGTAAATAGGAAAGTATATTAATATTCTATAGTTTGCACGGGTTCGTCTGTTGTATCGGTTGGGACGGTGGTTATACTCCTGCAAAAACTCAAAAAAGGTGAGATCTTCTAATTCCTTGGGCCGCTGTTTATATTTTTGCAGATATGATAGACCACGAGTGAGACCTTCTTCTTGAATTGTATATGACTGACGTTGCTGATCTTCAGAGCGGCAGTCAACATTAATAGCTACACAGAAACCAATCTGCAGGGGAAGATCAAGAAGCAGATGGCAAATTTCCTGTGAAGATCAATCTCTTTCTGCAATAAGGCGATTCATAAGCTTCATAACTGTGGAAAGCAGGGGGCGATTCTGATTAGCAGTTCCAAGAACTCTTTTCAAAATATCATGATAGGACTCGGTTTCACTTTCACTTTTTGAGACATATTTGGACAGATAATCAAGTACAGCTTTGCTACCGGTGCAGGAAGCGATGTCTGTATTGGCCAACCAGCTAATTGTAATCAAACGATTGTAGTTATTTAACAAACTGTCATTTCAACAGGGAAAGAGACGGTAATAGCTGCTGCCAGTAGGCTTTCGTAGAGTTGGTTCAGCTTGAGTAGGAATAGAATAGTGAAAGCGACACCGCTCTATGCCAGTACGGCGTTCCTTGCGGATGCAGTATTTAGCACTGCAATGATGGCGTTGAACTCGATTGAGCACTGAAGGTAGGTGGCCAAACGTATTTTGCTGATTGAAAGATGCCAAAGCAATTGCTGAACACTCATCTTCAGGTCGTAAATGACGGCCAGGTTCTGGGTTTTGCGCAGAAATATGGATCCCCCAGTGGTCTGCAAAAGCCTGACGCGCAGTTTCATCAAGCCTGCCAACCTCAGAGTTAATGCTGCCGTTGATCCAGTAGACACCATGACAGTGAGTGGAACCGCGACCCTGCCACTCGTAACGGTCCCACTCATCTACAATGTCAAATTTCTTGGTCAGGACTTCCCGTTTGAAGATAGTAAAACGGAGATGGAACCAATGAGCAACAATGGCAGGGTTGTCACAGATATTTTCGCGGAAGATCTTAATCCGTTCGGAGCTAGTCCCGTTTTTCCAGTTTTCATAGTTGGGAAGTAGCCGCATGAGGTCGTCCCAATGGTAATCAGCAGTGGAGAGGGTAAGAAATAGATGAGGAGATTGCAAATTCTTAACATATTCCTGCAACTGTTGGCGTTTCATTGCCCAGAAAGGGCGGGTGCCACGAAGATTGAATGAGAAGTGAGTAATGGAGTTTAAAACTGCCTCTGATTCAGGTGTGGTTTCTGTAAATGCGGCCCGTAGATCTTCAAAAGAGAGATCTTTGAGAATGGAGTCACTTTTTTGATACCAAAACCGACCACGAACTCCAACCTGTTTATGAAATAGAGTGTTAAAAACAACATAGTGAAAACGGGGGTGTCTGGCAAACTGTTGATCATGAAACTTAAGCAGAAATTTTATATATTCAGCGTACTGAATACTGCGCTGGCGTGGAAGTGTAAACTGAGCTTTTCCATAGGGAAACAGACTTGGGAATGCCCAAGAGAGTAGAGGATGAGTGTTGTTGAACTCGTCAAGGGAAGTGTTGCAGAAGGATGGCATTGTCAACTCGTGTCGCAGAATTTGTGGCTGTTGCAGCTGTGGTTGCAGCTGCAGATCTGGTTCAGGGTTTTGTGCCTGTTCAAATTCCTGGCGAAGCTGCTCCACTTCTTCATTGCAGGCAAGAAGATCAGGCACTGCTGCACACTCAGGGGAATTATTTATATCATCAGAGTTGATCTCTTTATCCAGCTGAGCATCCTCAATATCTTCAATCATTAGCTGATCAGTAACATCCTCATTGACTGGTAATGCCTCTAGAGCCTCCTGGTTAATATCGATGTTGGCATAGCCAGGATGGTTAACTCGAAGAAAAGCTAGCCATTGTTTAACAACAGCCTTTCGGACAGTGAAATCGCGACGGAATTGATGGGAGAGGCGGGGATCAGCAGACGTATTTGAGGGCCGCAAAACAATGATATCAAGGTCTTTGGGCAGCAGCGGAAGACTATTGTAAATGCGGTCAGTGTCTTGAAGGAAGTTGACAACATGACCCTTGTACTTGTATTGCTGGCCGCGAACCTGACGGATTTCCACAAACACATGAACCCGAGCAATAAGCATTTCCTCAACCTGGCTTATAGAAGGAAGATCGGGAACTTGACCAGGGTCCAGATTGTTATCTGCAGAAAAGAAAAACAGTTCATCTGCTTGTCAATTTTTATCAACTGTAATACAGTGAGCGCAGATGTTGTTTTTCAATTTCATGTTAAACCATTGACATCGACAGCGACTGCAGGTCTCCATAACCTCATCTTTGAGAGCTTTGTGAAAGTTTTGAACATATTGCCAGTCAGTTGATGTCAACGCTGGGTCTTTGAGAAGAGTAGAGCTGTTAAGCACTAAAGGGGGGTCTGGGTCCGCAAGATTCTCCATAGCAGATGGAGTGGGGAATTCCAAATGCAAATGTGAACAGAGATCAGTATCAATTGATGAACCACTCATTAAGCTCTCTGAGTAACTGGGAGGTGCATGCCATTGAGAACTGGGTGGAATGAATGGGGAACTGGGGGGACTGGCTGAGTGATAGGACTGGGTCCGTAATGGCACTTGAAAGGTGAAATCATCACTGAGCGGCAGAGGCGGGGCCGCAGTGGATGAGAAACATTCAGCTGTTTCATTGGCATTCTGTAGCTGTCCTTGAGCCCTGTGTAAGAATGACAACGTGGGCGTAGCAGATGGAATCTCGTCATGACGCCGAGCTGCCCGATGACTCCGCTGGATTACACCCTGCTTTTTACAAGCTGCTGCAAGTGAAGGAGGGTCTGACGTGTGTACTCCACGGTAACGGAAGTCAGGCGGCTTCGGTGGTTGAAAGGGGGCTTGCTGGCGGCTCAGAGAAGACCTGGTTGGCTGCAAATATCGAGGTGAAACTACTGGGTGTTGTTGCAGAGGTGGTGGGAGATGAAACTCCAGTTCCCTACTTGCAGAATCACTTCCTTGTGAAGAAGAAGGTTCATCAGAGCCACTGTCGCTTGGAATTCCAGGTGGTTTCGGGGTCAGAAGTATTGGAGTTACTGGTGTTTGCGGCCGTTCTGCGGGCGTCCCAGGGGCAGTGTGAGGAGATTCTGAAAGAAGCTGAGCAGCACTGCTTGAGCGTTTTAGAGTTCTAGAACCAGCAATACGACCACAGCAAGAGCTGCAGGTTGCAACTGTAGTGATTGGAGAGCATCTAGATATAAATTCCTCTAGAGGGAGAGAATTGCGGCAGGTGGAGCAGGTCTTGCTCTCCATTGCAGATTGCGGGCGGCAGACGTATTGAATCAGATAGAAGTGTAAACAGTTGAAAAGCTGGAAAAGGTCTTAAACAGACCAGATATTGATGCGCTGAGAAGGGTTGAGATACAGAACTGCAAGAGAGAGCTCTCTTGATATGATATAGAAATTTCAATGTCATAGCAGAGTTGCTAATGTGATATACTGAAAGAACTGTATGAATCCAGAGCAGCATTCATAAAACAAAGACATTTGCATTCAGTCATTTGACTGTATGAACTGGGGAAAGCTGTATATAGATTCCAATGCAAGATGAAAGAAACCTCTGTGAGTCGTCCACAGACTCTCCTTTGAGAACTGTAAGTCATGATTAGATTCATTATAATTCTTTGAAATGTAGCAAGCAGCAATAAAGAAGCTCAGATTGGCTATTTATACAGATGCAGTAAAAAGAGCCTTGAAATAGAATAGAATGAATGAAGCTATAATTGCTTGTATTTTGCTCAGGCCTTCCTAACGCGGGCGGCCCGTTGCTGCAACGGTTACGGGCGGTCACGTGGCATTACGTGAGCGTAACTTCTCATTGACCAATCAGAGCGCAGGGATTCAGCCAATCAGAGCGCGAGAATGCTTTCCTAATCCGGATGACCGAAAGAGGAAATTTTCTGGCACGAAAAGCCTATATATATTGCTTCACTCGCTACGCTCACTCCGCAATTTCTCCGGGACGTTAAACCTATACATACATACATACATACATACTCCGCAAATTAGATTTAAATTTAATATAATCAGAATGAAATTAACAAATCTTAATATTTTATATAAAATGATTAATTATGAAAAATTAAAATATGATCTGAAATTGATTATGATTTTAATTCAAATTTGATTTTATTTTGATGATTATATAATCCATATACAATTGATAATGATTATTGATAACACTCATAAACTCATTTATATTATATACAATTATGATCAATTTTTTTCTCTACTGAATCATTGAAAGAATATTTTATCACAACACTATTAATAATTTCTTTTCTTTTCTTTTTTTTTTTTTTTTTATATTTAATCATCATCAATTTCTTCATAATTTCTTTTTATAATTGATTATAATGATGATGGTAAATATTTCAATTG